TAGGTATATAGATATAGATATTACTGTCAGGTCAGTGCTGACCTATAGCTGATCTTCCCACAGGTTTTTAGAGGCAGTTAATCCTACAGGAGGAAACTGCCCATCCTTCTCCCATGAAGCAGCTGGTGCATTCAAACTGGGTGCCTTCTGAATTGCACCACAGTTTCTGGCCACTATGTCACCAATGCTCCCTATTGTTGTTATTGTGTGCTGTCAAGTCACTTGTGACTCATAACGACCCTATGTGCAACAGCCCTAAACTCTGCTCTGTCCTGTGCCAATCGCACTGCCTCTGACACACCCATCCCAAATACCCGAGTCAATGAATCAATCCACCTCATGAGGTGCTCCCTTTATGTAATATGTATTAGTAGGACTCCTAGATCAAATGGTATTATTTCTCTTTCCAGCTGTTTAAGGAAGCACCATATAGTTTTCCACAGTGGTTTCACTATTTCACATTGCTGCCAGTAGGATATGAGAGGTAAGAATCTGTTCACGCCCTCACTAGCATTTTTGTTTTCTGTCTTACTGAATTATGCTATTGTTGACTTTTGGATAGATTATATTAAAATAAAGTTACATTCATAGTTTCCAGAATTTCAACAATTTTAGGGAGTCACAATTCAGCTCACAACAGTCCCTGATAATGCTGTTCAATGGTGGTGGTGATGCAAAGTTCAACATGTACAGGGACCAGGCAGGTGAAGTCACTCAGGGTAAACTTGTAAAGAGAGTATGACGACATTCTATCCCATTTCAATGATGCCAAGGCAGAAAGTAGGCTGATCTTTCCAAAGAAGTTGAAATTCACATTGCTTTTGTGTACCCTGGAGTTGGAACTAATCTATAGCTGACCCTCCAGCAGGTTTTCAGAGGCAGTAAATCAAATGCAAGGAGATTGTCCATCTGTCTCCTGGAGAGCAGCTTGTGGATCCGAACCAAGTACCTTTGGGTTGGTAGCACAATTCCTTACCACTAAGCCACCAGAGGTACGTGAAAGTCACATAAGTACTTAATGATATTTGTTTAACAAATGTTTCCTACCTGCTTAATATATTCTATAGACTATTCAAAATTTGAGATAAAGTAATCACGGGTGGGGGGATTTTCTGCCCTGAGGGGGGCAGTAAGGAAAACACTCAATAATAAAATTAATATGTTCAATGATCGACACTAAGGAGAAAAAGAAAGCTGGGATGGAACATAAAAATTTGGGAAGGAAGCTGAGAATGGGCTTTTTGAAGTGCCCAGAGTAGTTATCACTGCAAAAATGACTTTCAAGGAAGTGAGACTTTTGTGGACCCTTGGGGAAAGGATCTTTCAGGTAGATGGGGCAGCTGGATCAATGGACCTGGGGTAGGATTGTGAGATGCCTATCCGGAAACAGCAAGACCAATAGGTGAAGGCACAAGAGTCGGGGTAGAATGGGTTTAGGATCAAAGTCCTGTAAGAACTTTAGTTTCTGCTGTGAGTGAAGAGCAATGCGGGTGCTTTATAGCAGACAGATATAACCTAACTTGGGTTTTAACAAGATCCAAAGAAATGATGCCTGAGTACGCAGCCTGCCCGCCAGGGATCAGAGGGAAACTTTCAGGAGTTTAAAGCGAGAAAGCGCACGCGGTTCCTTCAGCAGCCCCCAGGGGTCAGCACAACGGCGCTGACGCTCGGCATTCGGCGGCCGCGCTCGGGCGCAGGTGGCTCGCCCCGGGAATCTCTCCGCGGAAGTGCGCTCAGGCCGGGGCGCCTCTAGCCCCTTAAAAGCCACTTTTCGAGGGCTGCCGTAGAACTCCAGCACTTCCAGGGCCTCATTCCCTTCCGGCATCCCCAGGGGGCTGGACCTTCCTTCTGTTTGTGGTGGGACGAGGCCCGCAGCGACCCTCGACCCAGACGGGAACAGTCCCGGTGCCAGTGGAAAAGTCGGGCGGACCTGATGGGCCTCTACCAGCGCAGTTTGCTTACTCTCCTGTCCACGCAGGGTGTACCTAGGCACGTCGGAGAAAGGGGTGTGGGCAGGAAGGGAACAGGTGTGCAGCAGGACACACTCTCTCTCAGCAGGTGGATCACTCCCGGAGACCGTAGTTTGCGCAGATTCCAGCCCAATGAGCTGGATGCGAGGAGCAGGGGGCCGAGCGAGACACGCCAGGCGCTGGAGCCCTCCCAGCCGCGGGTCACTTGGTGCCGCCCCTCCGGGCTGGACGCACCTGGGCCAGCCCACTTCCGGGGAGGGAGGCGGGGAGCCCCTCCCCGCCGCTCCCCCTGGGCTCCCCCAGGACTCCCCCAGCCCTGCGTACCTGGGTGGACCCAGGGGAGGCCCGCACCTGGGAAGGCGCCGTGAGCCCTGCGAGTTTCTCGCCGAGAGCTATACTCGTGCAGTTGATCCCGCGTCTCTCCTCTCCTAAATTCCCGACGTGCGGGGGGTGGGGCCGCGGCAGGGACAAGGAGCGGAAGCGGGAAGGGGAGGAGCGAGCACCCTCCCCGCCTTGGTACGCGCGGCGCCCCCTCCCCGCCTGGTACCTGGAGCGGACGCGCAGGGCCGAGTGCCCAGACGGCGGGGATGGCGTGGCGGGCTTGTGGGCTCTTCGCGCGGCGGCGCTGCCACCCGGCCGCTGGGGGCCTGGGGCCGCTCGTCTGGCTCTTTCTCGGCACCTTTTGCATAGGTACGGGCTGGGGGAAGGGGCCCTGTTGCCTCCGAGCGTCCCAGGAACACAATGGAAGGCGTGGATCGAGTTCTGTGCCGCCCGGGAGGCGGGCGAGCTTGGCCTGGGGGCGCGGGGAGAGCTAAGAGGCCAGGCCCTCTGGCGGTGTCTCCGGGAGACTCCGCGTGTGTCGGGGTGGGGGAGTCCTCCTGTACGGGGAGCATTCCCCGCCCTCGTCCTGAGATACAGGAAGTGAAACTCCCCAGTCGGTGATCCTGGGAGCAGGAGGAAGAATGGGATCCTTTGTGGAGTGGGAGTGGGGGCCTGCTCAGACCTGGACAAGGCTTGGGCAAACCCTAAGGTTTCTAGATCTTGGGGTAACGGGGAGGCAGCACTCAGGGGCTGGAACGGGCGCTTCCAGAAACTAGAGCTCTAGAAACAACTCCCAGGCTTCGATGGGTGTGGAGCTGGAAACTCCCTGCTCCCCAGTCTGCAGGCTCCAGAGTGGGAATGGAAGTCCGTATTTGTTTGAAACTACCTTCCGCACTCAGCATTCACCTGGATGTGAGGTTTGGGTGGGAGCGAGAAGGGGCTTACCTTCTGGTCAACACTTTGGGTGAGAGTTCCTTTGAGGTGGCTAAAGATGAGTAGGTGAAGTTGAAAAGCTGATGGAGATTCTGGGGTCTTCCGCCACTTCATGGCAAAGCAGTTGAGCCAAACAATGCCGGATATATTCCTCAAATTCACAAGACGCAGGGTAATTTAGAACTCTTGACAGTTCCTTTTGCAGTGGGGCCTTGGGCACCAGAGACAATGCAGTGGCTACAGGGGACTCTGGTGGCATAGTTGATGGGGAGCTGAGCTGCTGACCCAAAGGTCACACCTTCCTTTCATGGTTAGAAGTCACAAGAGGGTCTGCTCTGAGGGGAGAAAGATGGGCGGTCTTTTCAGGTGGGATATACAGCCTGGGGAACACAGGTGGGGGGTCAGCTATGAGTTTAGTTTGGCTGCATGGCAATGAAGGAGTGTGCAGGCTACAGAGAAAGGGGCAAAGGGAAGAAGGGGCTGGGAGAGTTGAAAGGCGAAGGGTGGACACGATGTTCCCAGGAGTTCTTCCAAGGAGTCTGGCATGTGGCATTGCACCGACTCCTCCAGCCCTGGGGATCTAGAAAATGGGCATGATTATCATGCTTACTTCACTGGTCCAGGGGATTAAGGGACAATATGTGCCAGGCACTCTGTCAAATTGTACGCTTTGAAGTGTCAAGCCCGTGACAAGTGATGTTGCTCATTTCTGGTGAGGCACTTACCTGAGCTGTTGGCTCCACTTCCCTGAGGCAGCCCTCAACGTCCTGACTGACTTTGCTCTCGCCCTCAGCTCCCTGCAGCACCATCCAGGTGACCGTGTCAGACCCTTTCCACGTGGTGATCCTGTTCCAGCCCGTGACCCTGCCTTGCACCTACCAGGTGACCGCCACCCCCACCGTGCCCATTGTCATCTGGAAGTACAAGTCTTTCTGCCGGGATCGCATTGCTGATGCCTTCTCCCCAGCCAGTGTGGACAACCAGCTCAACACCCAGGTAGCAACTGTGAACTCTGGCTACAACCCCTACGTGTCCTGTGATGACAGTGTACGCACTGTCAGGGTCGTGGCTACTAAACAGGGCGATGCTGTGACCCTTGGCGACTACTACCAGGGCAGGAGGATCACGATCACTGGAAGTAAGTTGAACAGAGCTGGGGGGGGTGGACAGGGCTCACTTGGTGATGTGCTGGCTCCCTGATAGGCCACCTGTGGTGTCTGTTAAGTGATTTAAACAACAAAGACTGGCTGAATGCTTATCACATACCGCAGACTGATCTAGGCCCTGGGGATATGACAGTAAATCAGATCACTCAGAAGTTCTCAGTCCAGTGAGGGGCACAGACAAGATAAAAGTGGCACATACTGTCAAGTGCTTAGAGGTAGAGAAAATGTTTTAGAGAGACAGAGGTGTTGATAATACAACGACAGTAACAATAATTAGCAGTGAAAACTTACAGAGGGTTTCATATGGGTGCTCTGGTGGCTTAGTGAATAGAGAGTTGTGCTGCCAAACCAAAGGCGAGCAGTTCGGATCCATCAGCTGCTCTGAGGGAAAAAGGTAGGCAGTTTCCTCCTGTGCTGTTTACAGCCTCTGCAAACCTACTCGAGGGTCAGCTCCAAGTCGAATCCGAATCAATGGCAATGAGGGAGAGAGATGGACCGCCACCTGCTCAATGCTTTAACCCATAGTCATCAAATTGTCAGGGAAACTCGGGCCCAGAGAGGTTCAAAAGATATGCTCAGGGTCACACAGCCAGTGCCTACTGGGATTTTAAGTCAACCCCTTGGAGTTAAGTCTTCAGGGCTCACAGAGGAGATGAGATGAATAAGCTGAAGGGTGAGTGACTTGAATAGAGAAGACCCACGACAACCACGTTCCTACTGGATCCTCACCACCATGCTTTCACTCTTGCCAACAGAGTCATGGAGAGGTCAAGTAATTTCCTTAGGGTTGAATCTGAATTCGAACCCAAGGTAGCCCTGAGAGCCTTTGTTCTTAACCATAGGCTGCCTCTCAGTAGGAAATGTACCTGCTGGATCTGAGTAAGCCACAGTGAGGAAGTCGCTCATGAAGTTGCTGTTGTGGATGCTGGGAATACAGTGATCCTGAGGTCCCTGAAGGAGGTGCATTCTAGGAGGACGACAACACAGGCAATAAACATGCAGAAAAAGGCAGAATAAGAGATGCCAGTGAGCGCTATGTGTTAAATAGAAACAGAACATGGTATTGTGCTAAAGGAGTCTTGTAGCCCAGTGGTTTAAGCACTTCACTGCTCACCAGAAGGTTGTTGGTTCAAAGCTATTGCCAGCCACTCCAGGAGAAAGATATGGCAGCTTTTGCAACCCTATGGGAAAGTTTGACCCTGGCATATAGGGTTGCTCTGAACCAGACCCTCCAGTTGGGCATTTGGGCTCTTAATGTGCTGTAATATGAAATTACTCTGGATGTCCATCTTAACTGTGTGGAAGGGGGGCTCCATGCTGGACTCTTAAGAACTTGGAGGGCCGAGAGAAACGAGATGGACAGCCGCTGGTGAGGGATGAGGGACTGATCACCTAATAGACCGATCTTTTCATGGTCTTAAAGAACCGGAGTTTCAATCCTGGCCTGGGAGCCAAGAGAACAGGGGGGAGGTACCTGTTTACAGCTCCAGACACCAGGCCATGTGATGCACACACTCTTTCCTCACATTGTCCAGACTGCATGACAAGCAGGGGCTGAGCCTGTTGGTCCTGTTTCCAAGGAGGGGCATGCTTGCCCTGAATTTCCATGACTGTTTGGCCCTAAATATCCTGCTGTGATTGAAAGCAAAGGGCTTTGGGGGGCTTAGCCTATATAGGCCCTTTCCTCTCTGAACCCAGGGGCCTCTCCAGCCTGCGACAGATAGGACAGTGTCAGTACTGAGCGCGCCCTTGCAGGCTGGCTGCCGTCATGCTTCCTCCACTGAGGACAGACCCCTGGAATGACGCTCAAGCTTTATCTGGGGCCTGTTCTTTATGCTCCAGAAGGCCTCATGGGCCTGGCCTTGACCTGGGCCATGCTTGAAGTCCAGTTTGATCTGTAGTCACCCATTGTGTGTGTATATCCCTTCAGGAAGCCCTGGAACCCTGGGGTGCTTCCTCCATTTCAGCTTTGAAGATCAGGAGAAGTGGACTTGCCTTTTTTTTGTCCTGGTTTTAAAAGTAAAAGTTCTGGATCTCAGGAAACCTCTCAGCCCCTGCCCGAAAGACCAGAACAGTTGATCAACCTAGATGCCCTTCAGCACTGGGTGGATGCCGCTCCAGCTTCCATTATTTCCTGCTTGGATATCTGGGATGGCTGACTGGGGAGAAGGTCTCGTTTCTACCTCATCAGGCTGCTTTGAGTTCATGGACCCCTAGTCCCAGCACTAGGCTTTCTGGGATCAGGGGTCCATCTCAGCTGTGCACAGATAAGGAACCAGATCTGACCAGGTCTAGCTGAGTAGTCTTAGATGGGGGGCTGGGAACAGGGTATGCCCTGCAGGAAGGAGGTAGTCCCAGGTCTGAGAACTTATCAAAAGAAGCCAGAAAGCCCTATTTTCATAGATTTTGAAAACATCAGGCAGGCCAAACAAAATGCTTTGAGGCCAGGAAGTGACCCACCGGAGCCTTGGAGTTAACCCCGTAGCCCATGTTCTAGCGTCTGGGCCACCTCTCCAAGCTTCAGGTCGGAACAAACTCTCGAGCTTCAGTTTTAGAGAGGTGTGGTTAGAGTCTGATTTAAAGATACATGTGAAAAAGTGATGGGCTGGGGCATGAGGGAAAATATGAAGGATTTAGGAAAATCACTGGTGGTGTAGGGAGTTAAGCTGCTAACTCCAAAGGCCACAAGTCTGGTGGTTCAAATCCATCAGCTTCTCTGCAGGAGAAAGATGGGCAGTCTCCCCCTGTGCGATTTACAGCCTCAGAACCTGCTGGAAGGTCAGCTATGAAGTTGTGTCAGACTCAGTAGCAATGACAGAGAAAGTTCTGGGTTAAGGAGGTTTGGTGGTGTAGTGTGTTGTTACATGTGGTGCTGTTAATCGAAAGGTCAGCAATTCAAATCCACCAGCTGCTCCTCAGGAGAAATGAGGCTGTCTCCTGTGAAGATTTAAAGCCTCAGAAACTTGGTGGAGGACTGCTAAGGGTTGGAATCTGCTTGACTGTGGTGGGTTTGGTTTGATGTTTTGGGGATTTTTGGTTTGGTTTGGTTTATTCCCCATTCAGTTGTGGGTTATCTGAGGTTTCAGAGAAAGAATGTGTGCAGTGGGCTGAATGCCGAGCCCAGCACATGGCAAGAGTGCAATAGGGCAATGGCTGGGTGCCTGCCTGGCGAGGGGTGCGACGCCTTCCACACCCTCACGCCCATTCTGAAGGGCGCCTTATCTGGAACCTTCCCTGGCCCACACACCCCTGGCACCCTGTCCTCCTCCTCCCCTGCTTTGATTTTCCCAGACTGCTTATCACAATCTGATACATTTGTCACTCTTGTTTCTACTTTCCCAGTGAGGATCTGAACTCTATAAAGGCAGGATTTGTATTTGTCCTCTGTAACAAGGAGCCCTGTTAGCCAAAAGGTCAGCAGTTCAAATCCACCAGCTGCTGTGGGCAGTCTCCTCCCATGAGGATTTACAGCCTTAGAAACCCCTTGGATGGCCACTGTGAGTTAGGAGCAGCTCAGTGGCAGTGGGTTATAGTAATAGGATTCCTGGTCGTGTAACAGGCTTCGCATTGGGCTGCTGATGGGAAGTTTGACAGTTCGGATCCACTGCTCTCTGGGGGAACAATGAGGCAGCCTTGGAAACCTGATGGGGGGGTCGCCGCAAGTCAGAGCCCACTGAGCAGCAATGGAATTCCCACGGCAGGGGTTCTCAAACTTTTCCATCTCTTTATACACTTTAAAAAATTGTCCTGTTAACAATGAAATGAGTAATTAAAAAAGTGAACTGGAAGAGGGGAAAAGGAGGGCGAGGGAGTAAAATGCGCAACAATGAATGAGTGAAAATCTAATATCTCTGTAAATACTCATGAAAATAACAATTAAAATTTTCTTTTTAAAAATTGTCTTTGAAAAGGAGCTCAGTAAAGCATGTACCCATCCTTTATGTCACCTACATTTTCCTTTCACCTCAGTGTGATTTGCTGCAACAACAATACTTCTGCTCCTCTTCCATTTGTTTTATGGTGGCATGGATTGCATTCTTTGAATTGCGTGTCCATTCTCACCCACTTTTTCAGAATTTTCCCCTATTGACATTAAACTTACTTTCCCCAAAGCTACCCATCTAACTTTGAGAGCTCCTGTTGGCAGTTGTATCCCAGGTGGTGAATTCCTTAAATAAGCATGATGCTTACAGCAAGTCTTTGCTGGTTATGCTAGACTATTGTTTGGTGTGAAAGACTTCAGGGGATACTCTTGGTTTGTGGTCTCAGATTTCAAGATTATCTCTGGGCAGTAGTTTCAGGGGTTCATCCAGACTCAGTGAATCCAGAAGTCTGGATTCCATGAGACTATTCCATGAAAATAGAAGTTCTCCTTTGCATTTCTCTACTTTTTGATCAGGATTCTTTAGAAACTTTGATCAAAATATTTAGTAACAGCACATGCATTTCTTCTGGTCTCATGGCAAAGGAGGCAGTTTGTTAGCCATCAACCACATTTCATTTTCTTCTATTCCTCTGTTGCTTTTCTCTTCCTCTGAAGAGAGCTGAATCACTAAAAACTCACTGCCGTAGAGTCCAGCCTGACTCAGAACTGACCCTCCAGCAGGTTTTTGAAGTGTGCCCATCTTTCTCCTGTGGAGCAGCTGGTTGGATTTGACCTGGCCACCTTTAGGTTAACACTACAACTCCCTATAGACTACGCTGCCAGAGCTCCTTTTTTAGCTGAGTATGGACCATTTATAGCTACTTATAGGCTTTTAAAATCTTAAACACTACACAGTGAACTAAGAAGTAGAACAGAATCCCTAAAAATTCTATTAGGCCAGTTATCTGATAGTTTGACCTCTGTGTTTTCTTCTCAGAATTTTGAGGCTTGAATATGAGAAGGAACCAGCATAGGGAAGGTATGGAGGAAACATGTCAAGAAAGGGAACAGTGTGAGATAAGCTTGTTGGGCACAGGCCTGGGGGGAATGAGATTGTCATGGTGACCAGTGGCCAGATAATGCCACGGGCCTTCTGAGCCAGAATAAGATGGTGGACATTGTTAAAAGAAAGGTTTTTCTATGAACATAAGCCTGTGCTGACTCACTCACTGAACGATGGTTCCTAGCTGACCCTGCACTGACTTTCGGAGACTATAAATTACACCAGAAGAGACTGCCCATCTTACTTCTGAGGAGCTCCTGGTTGATTCAAACCAGAGAAACACAACCTTTTGGGTTAGGGGCACAACTCCCTCCCAGCACAGCAGGCTATACCAACCAAAATAAAAAAGAAAAGCGGCTCTGGTTCTTTGATTCCTTCAGCAGATGTTGCGGTGCTGTGGGCTAAGGCACACACAGGGACTGCTCTCCCAGAGGTGGCAGGGCAGTGGCGCGAGGCAGGAAGAGCCTGGACAGCCAGGTGAAGAGGCCCTGAGGCTATAGGATTTTCCCACTGGAGTGCTCTTCTCTAGCTCACTGGTATCTCCTGTAAGCATAAGGCAGAGTTGCCCCACACTGCTGAGTGGCTAAGGGATTGAACTAATTAAGGCCTACAGAGAGGAAACCGGATGTGCTAGAAGACTTTCATCACGGCAGGATTAACAGGCTCCTTGTGTGAGGCTGTCTGATACCAAAGCGTCCCCAAGCCCTGGACCTGACCTAGAATGTGGAGAGTGAGGGTGAGTGGACAGGACAGGGCACCAGGAGGGTCTGTCCCTCCCATCCACTCATACACACACTCACTTTCCCTTGCTGCCAGGGCATCTCTAGATTCCTGGAATCTGCTCTGTTTCTCTTTGCTGTCCTGCTCTGGACTTACTCCCTTGGGTCAACAGTAGGCTGGCAGTTCACATCAGGGATATCGAGACTTGCTTTGGGATGTGGTTTTGAAGGTGATCAGAAGCCTAAAGCACTGTCCAATGATGCCACTGAGGATGACCTGTCCCACTTAAGGTAGATTAGAGACCTCTGGAGGCCTATTTTCTCATCTATAAAACAGGGTTGATAATATACCCACCCAGAAGACTGGCAGTAAGTATTTAGGAAGAACCTATTGCCATCAAGCCACTTCTAATGCACAGCAACCTCTATAAGTCAGAGTAGAACTGCCCAGTAGGGTTTCCAAACCTGTCATCCTCACAGACACAGACTGCCACATCTTTCTCCTGTGGAACCACTGTTACTGTGTACTGTCAGGTCAGAACTGAGCCATAGCTGACCCTCCAGTGGGTTTTCAGAGACAGTAAATCATACGAGAGGAGATTGCCCATCTTTCTTCTGCAAAGCAGCTGGTGGCTTCAGGTCACATCCCTTTGGAATGGCGATGCAATTCTTTACCACAAAGCCACCGGCGTTCCTTGTGGAACCACTAGTGGATTTGAATTGCTGACCATTTAGTTAGCGGTTGAGTGTATAACCACTGGACCACCAGGGCTCCTTCTGAGGCATATCGGCCATCGCCTAAGAGATAATAGCTTGCCCTTGTAAATGAGAACGATTTGCTTTTCTACCCATTGGTCTAGAGTTCCATTCCTTTCACTGATGTGCAGAGCGGGCGTTGGCCCTGCTGGGCTGGGTGCTGGCCCTCAGATGTCCTCACCCTGTCTCCTCCTGACCCAGATGCTGACCTGACGTTTGACCAGACGGCGTGGGGTGACAGCGGTGTGTATTACTGCTCGGTGGTCTCGGCCCAGGACCTCAAAGGGAACAATGAGGCCTACGCAGAGCTCATCGTCCTGGGTGAGTGTGGGGCCTCGGGGAGAAGGGCAAGCTGGAATGGGCTGCTGCTGCTCTCGACCCCTGCGCCTGCCCCTGCCTTCCTGCTCGCTCTCTGGGCTACTGTCGCCTGTTTCACCTCCCCATCAGGGCACCACCAGTCACTCGAGCTTACCTGAGTCCTGCACTCCAGGCAAGGTAACCCCCCCCCCCAACAATTCAGATCAGCCACAGCCAGATGTAAGAGTGGAGAGCAGCAGGGACTCTGCCTCTTCTCAGTTTCATTTGTAACAAAAAGCAGGGGCTGGGGAATTTATACATGTATATAAACGGTTAGAGTGAGAGTGAGGAAGGATTTGGGAGGAAAATTTCACTACTTCCCCAGGTCACATATCACCCCAGAACTCCCTGCCATAGCATAGAGACTATGCCCTCTGTCCTGTTACCATGGCTCTGTGCGGTTTACACAAAGCCTTCAGGCGGGGTAGACTTCAGACACCCAGGTCAGGCCATTGCCGAGGAGGTGGAACCTACTCGTATCTGAACCATCCCGTGGGTTTTCAGAGGCTATAAATCACACAGGAGGATATTGCTCATCTTTTTCCTGTGGAGCAGCTGGTGGATTCGAACTGCCTGTCTTTAGCTTGGCAGTGCAGCTCCTTATCCACTAGGCCACCAGAGCTCCAATAGCCCTTGCCCTGCAGCTGGGACCCCATGCCATGTGCTTGTTGCCAACATATATAGTCTTGTGTGGCATGGGCTACATGTGAGACTGCTGGATGGCATGTTGCCAGTATTGCATGCGTGGTGTGCAAGGCTGTGTGTGTGAAAGAGCCACATCATACGGCCACATCCCAGGATGCTTGTCCTGCCCAGATGTGTGCAAGGAGGACTCAGACAAGGTGCAGGGGACTCTGCGTGTCCTTTGGTAAATGGCCCAGTCCAGTTCAGCAGTTCTCAAAAGTTTGTCTCGGGACCAGGTTTTGGGTATGTGAGATAGCTGAGGCTGTTTATCAAGTTAGAAATCCCAGCTGGGAAAATAGCACCTCTGTCAGCCCTGAACATTGCTGGCATGACATGTCTTGTCTTCTCTGGAACTCTACCAGACACTCATGATGGAATGAGAGTGGGCCATCACGCCTTAGTATTATTAAGAGAATAATGTTGGTCCGAGCCCACTTTGAGAACGACTGACTACATTCTAGAAGCCCCTCCCAGGGCAGGTGTGTGATAGTGCTCGTGAGCTCTGGATGGCGCTTTGTTGGGGTGTGTGTACTCTGTGGGGTAAAGCATGTATGGGGCAGTGAGCTCAGCTGGCACCTGAGGGAAGGCGCTAACCGAACCACAAACGTGTGGACGTGGCATGTGACAGACCGTACAGCCCAGTGTGGGTCACAAAGCCATTGGCTTTTCTGGCTTGTAGGTCCTTTTGCTTTTGTGGATCTTTCCCTCTGTAAAGTACTTTAAAAGTCTATTTGATGATTATGTTGCTAGAAAGATAGCATTGTCATAATTTTAGTATTCTAATTTAAAAAAATTTTTTTAAGAGATAAGAAAGTAAGTATCTATTTATGATTTAAATAAAGCCATTTTGGGGATGGGGACCCTGCAAGTTTCATGGGACATAGAAGATTAGTTGGCCTCATACAAAACCATCCTTAGCACGGAGGCTGGATTTCTTTAGGGTGATGATGTTGTTGTGTCATCAACCAACTCATAGCTGACCCTCCAAGAGGGTTTTCAAAGGGCAGTAAATTGTCCAGGAGGAGACTGTCCTTCTTTCTCTTAAGGTGGATTCGGACCACCTACCTTAGAGTTGACAGAGCAACTCCTTACCCATTGGGCCACCAGAGCTCCCACATGTGTCACACAGATAAGAGTCCAAACTGAGGTGAAACTTTCAGAACCAGATGGGATATGGATTAGAGCCCTTAAGGGCAGCAGACTCCGTTGTATGAGAGAATCCATGAATTACATGATAAGAACCTTCTAGAAAACGGATCCCATAGCTGGGGAGGAACTAAACACTAGGATTCGCTGGGCCACCAACCTCTTCCACATCAGGGTCACCTTCAGCCTAGGGTCAGCATCAGCCTAGAGCTGGGTCTCGGGCAGGGTGGCCTGGGCTGGCTCTTGCCAGCATAATCTGTTTCTCTTTTGTCCCTCCAGGCAGGACCTCAGGGGTGACTGAGCTCTTACCTGATTTTCAGGCGGGGCCCATGGAAGGTATGGGGAGGAGTGGAGGCCTGAGTGAGGCTTCTCTCAGGAGTCCCCCACTCACCGTTTACTGCTTCTGTCTCTAGTGACCTCCCTCATCCTAAACACTGCTCACGTAAGCCCCACTAACCCCACCCGATCTGTAGGCTGTAGTGACCTGGCTCTGGGCTCTGGGCTGACTGACGAGCCGGGGGCATAGGCAGGGGCTCTTGTGACTGGTGTCTGCATTGCTCTCCTGGGGTTTGGATATAGCAGCTGGCTCACTCTCCAGTCTCTCAGGCTGTGCAGGGCCCTTCTTGTTTTCTGCCCTGCTGGCATGAGCTCAGGAGCTGTCTAGTATTTGGACCGGCCTGGGTTAATGTGCGTGGGGGAAGGTGGAGCAATTCTGTGGCTGCACCCAAGCTTCTGCCACAGAACCCAGGGAGGGTTGCCATTTTCCCAACAAACTTTGCCTGTGCCCCACCAACCCCCGCCTGTCCTCTGTGCTGCCCCTGCCTTGTTCATCCATCACAGCTTCCTCAGAGGCCTCCATCTAAGGGCCTCTTTTCATCTCTCGGCAGACTGGCTGTTTGTGGTTGTTGTCTGCCTGGCTGCTGCCCTCTTCTTCCTCCTCCTGGCCATCTGCTGGTGTCAGTGCTGCCCCCATACCTGCTGCTGTTATGTCAGGTGCCCCTGCTGCCCAGAAAAGTGCTGCTGCCCGGAAGCCCGTAAGTGCCCCAGCATGACTGACCCTGCATGTAGCTCCCCTCCCGGGTCTGAGGGGACAATGAGCCCTCACCCTGCCTGATGGGGCCCCTGCTCTGGAGGTGATGACTCTAACAGTCTGTGGAGAAAGTAGGCCAAGGCCTGCTAGTTCAGATTACCATTTGCTTTACGTCAACTTTGAATTCTCATTTATTGGGAAGGGTTGATGTTTTTCTTTGAAAGTGTCCATGCATTTGATTTTTTAAAAAAATCAAACAATACAAAAACGTTATTCACCCTCTTTACAAACAAAATCTTAAATAGAAAAGCTAAGAAGCCAAAGTTTACATTACTGCATACTTTTTAAGTACATTTTTTTAAACGTGCATTCACACACTGCATTTTAACCAACCCTGCTTGCTAAAAATGGAGAGGACTTGAAGCACTTACTGATGAGAGTATAGAGAGTAGGGATTACACTTCCACATAAAGGAAACAAAAATCACTACAATTAGACCAAGAAGCAACATCATGGTACACAGAGAAAGTGTTGAAGTTGTCAAGGATCTCATTCATGGAGAGAGCAATCAGGAAGTCAGTGTATTACTGCATTGGGCACACCTGCCGCTCAGGGGCTCGCTGAAGAGCACGGACTTCACTCCGAGGACTAAGCCGCACCTGACCCAAGCCATGGTATTTTGAATTTGCTCTGGCCATGTCGTCTGGGGGGAGTTGTGCTGCTAACCCGAAGGCTGAGGCTCTTGCAGTTCTAACCCACCAGCAACTCCGTGGGAGAAAGATTGCCCTTTGGCTCTCATGTGATTTACAATGTTGGGAACCCGACGGAGTGTTAGCTCTGACTTGATGGCAGCAAGTTTAAGTTTTGAGCATGTGGAAGGTAGACAGTGACTAAGGAAGACTGACCAATGGCATTGGCAAAGAATATTGAGTAGACCGTGGACTAGCAGAGCTAACAAATATGACCTGGAACAAGTGACCGGAATGAGAATGCTCCTTATAAGTGAGGATGGTGAGACTCTGGCTTAGTTGGGACATGTCATCAGGAAGCATCAGTCCCCAGAGAAGGGTATCGTCATGCTTGGTAAAGAGTCAGCAAAAAAAAGGAGAATGACCCTCAAACAAGACAGCACAACACAGAGGCCTCAACATTGGACTCAGCCATAGCAACAGTTGTACAGATGGTGCGGGATGGGTGTTTCATTCTGTTGTACAGAGTTGATACAAGTCAGAACCTGCTGATGGCACGCCTGACAATAACACCAGGAGCGCTGGTGGTACATTCATTAAGTGCTCGGTTGCTGACTAAATCCACCAGCTGCTCCAAGGAATTAAAGACCTGGCTGTCTGCTCCCATGAAATCAGACTAGAAAATCCTATGTGACAGTTCTGTCACCTGGGGACCCTGTGAATCAGAATCAGCTCATCAGCATATGTCAACTCTGTTTAAGGACATATCTTGTGTACCGCAGTGGAGGGAGACTTGTGGATTTGGGGAATGGACATTGGACCAGACTTGAGGGAAAGAGAAAAAAGAAAATGACAACTCCAGGTGGCTGGCTGGAGTTGTGCTGCTAACCCAAAGGCCTTGTCTGTTGGTTCGCATCCACCAGCAGCAACAAGAGGGAAAGACTGGCCATCTCTTCAATTTAACAGCCTTCATTTAGAAACCCAGTGGAGGGTCAGCTTTAAGTCAGTTCTGACTGGAAGAGTGAGAGGTGCCCTGATAGTGTAGTGCATCATATGCTGGCTGGGCTGCTAGCCAAAATGTGGTTGTGGTGGGAAGCTCTGGTGGTAAGAAGCGGTGCTGCAATCCCAAAATATGGTTGTGGTTGTTATGTGCTGCAGTCAAGTTGGAACCCATTGAGCTGAACCGCCAGCAGGTTTCAGAGGTAAATCATGGGAGGAGATTGCCTGTCTTCCATCTGAGGTGTATTTGAACCACTACCTTCAGGTTGGAAATGTAACTTCTTACCCACTTGGCCACCAAAGCTACCAACCAAAAGGTAGGTGGTTTGAATCCACTAGCCACTCCCAGGGACAAAGGTGAGGCAGCCTCTTCACATTAAAATCTACAGCCTGGTAAACCCAGTGAGAGATGCCATGAGTTGGATTTGACTTGAGCTTCAAGCAGAGAGAGCACTGCAGGTTTGAGGTCCAGCTTAATGACTCCCTTGCTTGCAGGCCAGTTGAGTGCCTTCCTCTCTTCAAGCCTCAGTTCCTCCTCTGTAAAATTCCAGCAGAGTCTTAGCCCTCAGTCACTACTGATGCTGACACATGAAGCCACAGGCCAGGCCTCACAGGGGGTACTGTCCACATGATCTTACCCAATCCACAAACTTATGGTCAGCCTGGTATCCCTCCCTTGAAAAATGTCCACCGCCCCCCGGAGGCTTATGCCAGCCATTCTTTTCTCTCTCATTTTGAGGTGAGAGCTTCTTCCTCAGGTGATGGGTGCTGGGTCCAGTTCACAGATGGGAAGGGGAACCGCCAAGGGCTACAATCTTGATTACCATTACCTCATTAATTAAGGCTGGGTTAGCCAGGATGCAGATGCTTATCCTGGCTACCCTGTCCCAAGGCCACTTGTCCTTGGGTCTTCCTGACAAGAGTGTATCATCAGCCATGCTCACAGGCCTACTGGCCCTGAAGGTAGCTGCAACTTCCTATTTTCTGAGGTGTTGTTGTTGTTAGATGCCACTGAGTTAATTTCAACTCTTTTAAACAACAGATCTGAAGCCTGTGCCGTCCTTACCATCTTTTACACACTTGACCAAAAACACCAAACCTATTACCATGGAGTTGATTCCAGCTTGCATCAGGTCTCCAAGGTTGTAAGTCTTAGTTGGAACAGACTGCCTCACCGCCTTTTCAGTGAGCAGCCAGCATGTAACTACAGATAGGGCTGCCTAGTAGTTAGGGCTATGAGCATGGAGCCTTCCTCCCTCTGGGCATGTGAGAGGGACCTGCCTGGGGCCCAGTGCCTTTGCTTTATGACTCGGACTCTAATTGCCATCGAGTGGCAACTAGTGCATAGCTGACCCTCCAGTTTCAGAGGCAGTAAACTGCACGAGGAGATTGCCCATCCTTCTCTCACAGAGCAACTGAAGGATTTGAACCAAGTGCCTTTGAGATTGTAGCACAGATTCTTACCACTAGGCTGCCAGAATTCCCTGCTACAGAATTGTTATTATTTGCTGTGGAGTCAAAACTGACCCTCCAGTAGGTTTTCAGAGGCAGTAAATCACATGAAAGGAGATTGTCCTTCATTCTCCCAGGGAGCAGCCAGTGTATTTTAAGCTGCACTAGCCACCAGAATACAGTTTCTTGCCCCGGGGAAAAAAAACAGCAAGAAGGCTTTGTGCTCTCCTGTCTAGAGTTGGGGGTGGGGTGGCAAAGAGGGTGAAGATGGGTGTGGCCCAATGCCTGGAAATACTAGATAGGGATGGTTTTCTACAAGAGCTGAGGCAAATCAACTCATAAGGCCCCTTAGACTCATTCTCTCTGCATCTGAGTCAAGATAACAATAGGCATGAGAGGAGATGAGAGATGAATGAGACGAGAGATGATTCCTTTTTCTACTTTGAGATATGTGACACCGGCTTGCAGAACAGTTCTGGACCCCTTCGTCTTGTCTAAAGGGAGCAGCTTCACAGTTTCATGAACTGTTGCCCTCCCTGTGAGAAGATGGGCCTGGAATGTTCTGGGTACCGTCTGATATGGCGGGCCCATGAGTTGGAATTTTATGTAGAACCTTTTCTTTGATCATCAGACGTTGGCAAACCATCACACTATCCAAACAAAACAGGGGGGGGGGGGCCTTGTGCTGCCTGAAACCTCTATGAGGAGTCATGTAAAGTGTGAAATTAATGAGGCTGCAGAAGTGGAATGAAGGCTGGAATGGTGTGCAGTTGCTTAAGGAGAGGCCAGTGAGGGGACAGGAAAAAAGTCCAGACCCCTCCAGGGCCCCATCTGCCGTACAGCCAGCTACCCTGCCCTTTCTCATGCTGATTGTGTATCCTAGTGTATGCTGCTGGCAAAGCAGCCACCTCTGGGGTCCCAAGCATCTACGCCCCCAGCAACTATGCCTACCTCTCCGCTGCCAAGACTCCACCACCAGCAGCCATGCTTCCCATGGGCCCTGTTTACAATGGCTACCCTGGAGATTTTGACAGGAATAGCTCAGGTGAGGCCTGAGTGGAGCCAGGCACAGCTGGGGCAAGGGGTCAGCAGGTATTCGGGCACCAAAGGTGATCTAGGGCTGGAAGGAAGAGTGGATTTGTGGGAGAGGTTAACTAGAGATGAGAGGGTACTCCAGGCAAACAGCCACAGACAGCGTGCGCATCTTCCCCAGTTGGCGGCCACAGCTCCCAAGTGCCCTTACTTCGTGACACTGACAGCAACGTGGCTTCAGGTGAGAATCATGAAACTGCATGTGACCATAGGGGAGAGGGCTGGGTCTGTTTTCATCCTCTCAAACTGACTTCTGCCACTGCTGTCCCCTGCCCCTAGAGGTCCGAAGTGGCTACCGGATACAGGCCAATCAGCAGGATGACTCCATGAGGGTCCTGTACTACATGGAGAAAGAACTGGCCAACTTCGACCCTATGCGACGCGGTCCTCCCAGTGGACGAGTGGAACGGGGTAAGTGGGAATACTGGGGCACCGAGACTGAGGGGGAGTCACATCTCCCAGATACACCATGAATTAAATCAGGGGTCAGGATTGCAGATCCCCCTCCCAGGGCTCTGTTCCCCTTCCATCTAGGGCCCGCCCCCCTTTAACGCCCTGGCAGGGTGTCTGTCTGCCACCTATTGGCCCTTCAAGGAGCTGCAACTCCCTCACTGCGGGGCTAGTAGGGCATCTCTCCTCCGAGGGTCACGCATAGCATCATTTCACATATAAGAAACCCAGAGTCTCCCAGAGATTTTATGAGCCATATGGGTGATAATTGCTCTGGCCTCCTCTCAGTAGTTAGTGGCACCCCTTTTCTCTACAGCCATGAGTGAAGTCACCTCCCTCCATGAGGATGAAGCTCGATCCCAGCCTTACAGGGGTCCTTCTGTTAGCCCAATCCAGGAGAAGGAATGGGGTCGACGTTCCCCCCAGAGTCCCAGGAGGTGGGAGCAGGAGCCCCCAGCGCAGCAGCCAAGGAGGGGGTGGGGGGCTGGGCGACCTCGGGCCCACTCTGTGGATGCGCTGGATGATCTCACCCGGCCCGGCTCCCCGGAATCCGAAAGGTCTCCCCCCAGTAGTGGGAGGAGAGGCCGGGCCTACGCACCCCCGAGAAGCCGCAGCCGCGATGACCTCTACTATCAAGATGACTCAAGGGACTCCCCATACTCCTGGGACCCCCGCTATGATGAGCTCAGATCAGGGAGCCGCCCCCAAGCTGACTCCAGGCCGCGCCACCGCTCTAGGAACCCTCAAGAGGATGGCTCAAGGTCTGGGAACCCCCATTATGATAGGGTGTTGCTAGAGGAAGCCTTGAGAAAAAAAGGGTCTGGGGAGAGGAGGCGACCCTATAGGGAGGAAGAGGAAAGCTACTACCGCCCGGAGCCTCCCCCTTACTCGGAGACTGACTCCCAGGCCTCACGAGAGCGAAGGCTAAAAAAGGTGAGCACCCCTTCCTGAACCCCGTCTTCTAGTCCCCTCCCCTCCTTAACCCCCTCTTCCCGTCCCTGCCCCTCCTGAACCCCTCTTCCGTCACCGCCCCTCCTGAACCCCCTCTTCCCGTCACCGCCCCTCCTGAACCCCTCTTCCTTTTTTATTTGCAGAACTTGGCCCTGAGTCGGGAGAGTTTAGTTGTCTGACCTATGTTTTATATGTAGCTTTTGTACGTTTGCCTTTTGTTTTAAATTCAAGGAAGGACTATCAAAGATGGTCTTCTCTTACCTAAGCTGAATAAAATTTATAATTACAAGACCTGAAAGACTCAAGGGAAGTTTGTTTTGCTGCGTGAGGTGGGTGACGAGATGACGGGGCAAATGACGGAGAGGAAAATGTGTGCATTTGTAAAGCAGGGGTGCCTCTACGGCCACCTCACCTGTCCCTTACCGAGTTTGGTGTTTTGTTTTTTTTTTTAGCAAAATAAGTGGAGAAGAAAGGTTTATTAAAGCAGTAGAACAGAGGCAACGATGGTGAAAGGTGGGCTGTGCAAGTGTTAAAAGTGAAAACGAAAGAAGAAGGGGAAAGACAGGGGTGAAGCTGGAACCCTGAACTTTTAAAAGCTCATTTAAGAGAAAGGCTATTTGGCCTTTTCCCCTCGCCTCCAGCCCGGGAGAACGTGCCTCACGTCGCCTCTGCCGGGTCCTGCGTGCGCGCTCCAGCCCCGCCCAGACGTACGCATGCGCGCGGGCCAACCTCACCCGGCCGCCGGGAGCGCGCGCGCGCCCCCTCCTCTTCCCCTGGACTCATTCACCACCCACCCTCATTCCCCGACCTACTTTACTGTCGCCAAACCCTGGCAACCTGTCTCGCCCCTGGCGGCCAGACCCCTCTCCGGATCCCCCAGTGTTCCATCCGGGCACACGTTCCACTGGGGCAGAGCGCTGGCCAGTACAACAGCGACGAGGCCCGGGCCGGCGCGCGCCCGTCCGCCATCCGAGACAGACAGCGCGGGCGCGCGCCCCCCGGGGGCTGCCCTCCCTCCGCGCGCGTCGGTCCCGGGCTCGCGCTGCCTCCGCCGCGTGCACGCAGTTCAAGTAAAGGAGGAAAAAAAAAAAAAAAAAAAAAAAGGGGGGGGTAATAGAAAGCGGCGGCGGCTGCAGCAGCGATCGGCCGCCGGACTGGGCCAGACCGGACGGCCGACGCACGATCGGGCGATCCTGACGAGACGGCAGTCTCCCAGGGCTGGCCGTGTTTAAAAAAAAAAAAAAAGTCGTGGCAGCGGCGACTCGAAGAAGGAGGGCCGCGGGCGGGGGTCGGCCGCGCGTTGTCCCGGAGCCTAGAGCCGCCAGGAGCCGGCGGGCGGGCGGAGGCGGCGGCTGCAGGAGCGGCGGCGGCGGCGGCGGCATCTCCTCCTCACATGACCCCACTGTTTGTCCCCGTGATC